GTGGGTGGCTGCTTAATAAAAGCTACTATTAAATCTTAATTTTTATTTCTATTAACTTACAGAACTATTACCTATTAATTTAACAATAAACATAGGTGGTGTCATAAATGATTACTAATCAGAGGAGTCCTTTGGGAACTATTCGAGGAAGACGTAATCAAGTTGACCCCTTTGTGACCACTACGTGAATCAAGAATGAGCCACCCAAGCAAGAAAAAAAAAAAAGAATTAGTCACAATTACTAAACGTCATTTCAACTGATGGAGCCGTCCTCAATTTAGAACGTATATACTCGTAGGTATTTCTCCATTATTTCTGTCAATTTTTTTTCTTTAATAAACTTCTTTTGAAATTAATTGATAATCAACTCTATTCAGTTATGGAGACAGAAACAAGTTTTAATATATCTTATGATTTAATTAAGCGTGCAACGTCAGACCTTAAGTGTAAAAATATTACAACGTGCTCTTCAGACTTTATCGTATATCTACTATACTTATAAGCTGAAATGTCTTCATTAGTCCGGTATTTCAGCTAAAATATAAACAGTGGTCTTAATTTTTCTTCGCCTCCGTTCATTGCTTGTGACTTTTTCGTTTTTTAAAGCTTTCTATACTTTTACAGCCCCTTTTAATTACGTCATGGGGTTGAAAATTTGTAGGTGAATTGAGTTGAGGCTACCTTTAGGGAGTTTTCAATTTTTCCCTCACTCCTACCATTTCCTTAATACTGTTTTGTGAATCAGGATAGCTGTATCTGGATTTATGCTGGATTTCTTGTTGATGACAGAGTATAACATTGGCAATCTTGTGTAGGTTTGCGTTAGTGTAATGCAAATGTAAACAAATTATAATATGTTAAAAAAATATGTATAAGAAAGGAATTCAACATTTCAATTGATTTTAAACTTCTATTCAATTTTCTCAGCTATTTACAAAACAATTAAATTACTTTTAACCTATTTCTCAGACTTTTTTTTCATGTATTAAGAAAATAAAACAAAAAACAATGAGATGATTTTAAAGAATAATTAATTATAAAATCATTAATTATTCTGATAGGTTGATGATTACTAGTCCAGGTAACTGTTAAAAGCTGCCTGTTGTCTGTTTTCAAACTGCCAAGCCACAACTTGGGTCAGTTATTCAGGAACATATTTACAAGGTAATTGCTTAAAAAATCTTTATATTTATATGATATTTACAATATTTATAAATTGTAATGGTTTCAATTTTTTTTAAAATTCATTGTTTTAAAATTTAAAAATTTGTAATAATAAAAATTAAAACTATCTATTCTTTTGGTTCTTAAAGTTTGTAAATGATAATAAATAAATAAAAAATTTACATTCGACAAGATTTATTTAACAAAAAACTAATTTAAAAAAAGTTGCGGGCATACCACAAGGTAATGTTTTAAGCCCTCTTTCCTTTTCTCTCTACACATCTAATATTTCTGAGCACCCTAGTACCATTCTCTATAGCTTTGCTGATGATATATAAGTACTTCGTAAAATCTTAAACGTTCCTTTGTTTATTTCAAATCACACCATACACACAGACATGAACATACCAAAATTAAAATCATACATACATAACAAATACATAACATTTCATTCTTCAACTCTCAATTATCCAAACTCACTAGTTCTGTCTCTTTCCTCCCTCTTACCTGGTGAGGCTCAAAGACAACTAAAAAGGCAGTGGTCTAGAGATCTCCTTCTGACAATGTGAATAAAGATCAAAAATTGAGGAAGACAGAATAAACTGTATATTTGCTTCATGCCTAACAACACAGTGGCAAATTTAATATAAAATAAAATATTATAAAATGTAAATAAATAAAAAATAAAATGAGAAGGAGTTGGTCAGGGGATGCAATCATAAAAATACTATTTTATTAAATTTTTTTTTTTTTTTTTTGGGGGGGATTTTAAAGCTCCCAATTTTTCATTGTTGCTTCATATGTCAGGTTGCCGGGCAACAGTGGTGCTTTGCACACTCGTTAGCCCATTCAGCCACCCCACCCATTATTTAAAATAATATAAAACATCGGTATAACGAATAAAATACTACCCTAATAATATATTATTTATATGATCGCACCTTCCCCTCTCCCCTCCTCTCTCCCCCAACCAACTCCTGCTCAAAAAATAAAAAAAGAATATGAAAATTTAAAACAAAAACATATACTGTAAGATCAGGTAACTTTGGGACTAGATGGGTAATTCTGGGACAGCGGGTAAAATTTATTTTGTGGTGGATCCACTGAGTTGGTTCAGCCAGTATGGTCAGCGCATCTACTATGCTACTACCTTGTGGCACACTACTCTTGAAGCACAAGTGAAAGTTTCCTGATAACTAGAGTTTTGAGGATACACTGTGTTGGTACATTCATTTCATTAAAATAGGTTAAAAAAAAGTCACTTCATTGAAAAAAGCAATGGAAATAAATAAAAACTAACTGCAGAACGAGTGAACTAGGGTTCTCAAACTATTGCAAGGTATTAGCACAGTACATGTCTACACAAAGCATGTTTTTCCAGACTGAATTAACAAAGTGTATCCACCACGGAATCACCAAAAAACTAAATTTTATCCGCTGTCCCAAAGTTACCCTCTCAGTCTTAAAGTTACTCCATCTTAAGGTAATGATTTTTTAAAAGAATTAATATGGTTTTTGGACGTGGTCAAAATGTTGACAAACTCCATAAACATTTTTTGCCTGCACAACCTGACCATTTTTCATTCTTATAATTTCATTTCAGAAATCAATTATATATCCTTCCATAAATAATATTTTAAATGAAGAAACTATTTTTATATATAAAAATTAAAAAAGGAAATTTATTTGATATTTGTGGAATGGGCAATAATAATAATGACTTTAATACAGATTTGTATATTATTATAAACTTAAAACTAAAAAAATAACAGTTCTACTTTAAAATTATTATTAACATTTTTAAAATGTTTCACATGACTTATTGGTTTGCGAATCTGTTTTGTGCATTGGTAAAGACATGAAGATTTGTTTTTTTTTATTTACTTTAACACTAACTTGCACATTTAAAGAACTTATCTCAAGCTGACTTCAGTTGTTCCAAAACTCAACATCTTCACTTTGGCTAAAAGAGATGTCATCCCTCTTCCTCTTAATGCCATATTAATAAAAAGTACTCATGTAACTTTAAAACCCCCCAAAAAATAAAAGTTTAAAAAAAATAGAACAAATATTCAATTTAAGTTTACATGAAACTTATACAATGTAATACAAATAATATTATACAATTAACTAAATAAAACTCCAAAAATACTACTATTTTTTACATCTTGCCTTCTTCCTAAAAACTTTAAATATCATTAGTATTATTAATGTAAATTCCAATTAAACATTTATCAATGTATTTATACTCAAATGATAGTTTAAACTATTCTTAATAAAAAAACAAAAATAATTCATTAAATTTATGCAAGAACTTTGGCCCTAAATTCGAATGTTCACTTTGAAATTTCATATTTTGTCAATTCTTTCAAAATCATATAATCTGTGGTCTTAAGTAATGTAAGTTATGAATGGTAGCCATTACCTATCATATTAAAGATTTATTCAATATCAATTAAAATATTAGAAATTTGTTTTTCTATTGAATATTTGATTGTGTTCTAAATTTATGGAATGCAAATTATTTTAGAAGATTCTTAAATAGTCATTTTAATTTTGATTGTATTGCAGACAAGAAGAGTGATTCCTGAAAAGTGTGAGGGTTGCATCATCTCTAACAGAAGGTTTTAATCAACAATTGAGTTTCCGATAAAAATGAATAAAGAAGTAAATAATTGTTCAACTGGGATCAGAAGCTTGATTGAGGAAATCATTATAAGAAGCCCATACAACATAGAAATACCTAAGAAAACATATACCGAACTTATTTGGGAACGACATGTAAAATGGAAAAATCACAAAGCTGTAGTAAGTTCAAAATTAAGATAATTATTTTGGCAAGATATGATCTGAGAAGGCGGTCATAAAAAAAAAAAAAAAAAAAATAGATATATGAAATTTATTAAGCCTATTTTTCTTCCCAACTATGTACATCTTCATCAGGGCTTAAATCAGAAAGGGCATTACATAAGGAATTTCTGCCTAGAAACCCTTCCTGACCCTAGCCCTGTTGAAGACTTGCATTTTTGTGCTGAAACAAGGCTTAATAAAATAGTTAAAGTAATTTTGTTAAGATCTGCTTCGATCATTTTTCCAAATTTAGGTAGTGCTGCTGACTTAAGAAGTTCATGTTTAATAATAATAACATCTATTTTATCATAAATTGTTGTGAGTACAAGACAACCCATTTTGTCTTATCAGAATTATTTTGTTATAAAACCCTTTAAAGTATTTTCATATGTATAAATGCTTTAATTCAATGTTTTGATTTTATATATTATTTCTTTTATTTTAAATGTTTTTGATATTGTAACCTATTGCACTATAAGCACTGAAATTATGGATCCTTCAGGCAAGTAAAGCAATATTTTAAAATAATTTCTCCGCTTTAATTAAAATTTATTATATGTAAAAATCTATGCTTACAAAAGGTAGGTTTTTCTAATAATAGTAATGTTTGAAATAATAGACTGTTTGAAAATCAGTTAGATTTTTTTTTTATTGTATAAACTGATGCTTAGAAGTTGAAGTTTAGACTTCAATGGATGAAAATTGAAGTATTAAGCTGCCAATTTTTAAATCTATTGTCTTTTCCAGACATGCATGTCATTGATTCAATCAGAGCTTTTAAAAAGATAGGAACTTTCATTTTATATAATATTTGCCATAGATAACTCAAAAGGTATACAAAAATATTGAGATGCCACATTCTGACCAAATTCATTTTGTATTTTTGAAAAAGAATATTGTATTAATACAATAATAATAAAACACTCGTGTGTGTTTGTTTAATTAGATTTTTTAATTATGCTGTAAAAAAGTATGCAATGTGAATCTGGGGTAAAAGAATAAGCCAAAATATAAGTAATATTTATTTTTATTTTTACATAAATGACTTCCAGGTTTGTGGCATAACTAACAAAGCGTATACTTTTACTGAGCTAAAAAGATATTCCGCATTGATTGGGAAATGTTTAGTAAATGAAGGAGCTAGTGTTGGTGATGTTATTGCAATATTACTCCCAAACAGCCCAGAATACATCAGTATCATTTTAGGTGCTTCAGGAAGAGGTCTGACAGTTTGCTCATTAAACCCTTTATATACACCAGGTGAATAATAGCTGTTATCATTTAAATTAAATGTCCTAAAATATGGGATAGAATATTAGTTATAGTTAAAAGTTGATTTTTTTTATTTATATTAATTATTTTTTAAAAACTATCCCTCAAAATAAATATAATAATGAATTATCATTGAAATCTAATTATCATTTTTAAAAAATTAAAAATTGTAAAATAAAAATGAACATATCAAGTTTTAAAGTTTAGAACTGTACTTTAAAATAGTTTTTATGATATTTTTACAGATGAAATATCTCATCGAATCAAGAATTCAGAGACCAAAATTATGATAACATTCCCTCAAAAAGTACAAGATGTAATAAAAGCAGTTGAAAATCTTAAAATCGATAAATGTCTCCCTCCAAATTTCAAAATACTGTGTATTATAATAGATGAGAAAAGTAACACAAACCTTCCTGAAGGTATAATAAGCTTAAATGATGTAGTAAAAAGATCACCAGTTACTGATAACAATGAGACCACTCCATCTAGTATAGCTGATGAATCTCTGGCATTTATTTCGCATTCCAGTGGCACCACTGGTTTACCAAAAGGAGTTTGCCTGACACACAAGAATGTTGTAGCTTCAATTTTACAGATGATGGAAAAACATACAACATTTTTTAAAGAAACTAATGGTAAAATGACAATATAACCTATCAATATTCTGTAATTCATTATTTAATAGTCTCTCTGTATTGTTATTACTATGAACCAGATTTTAATATAAATTAAAAAGCTAAATGTGTATATATATATCATGTGAAATATTATATTTATAGTATAATATTTCAAAAATATGTAACAGAATATAAGAAGTATATCCTGTATATAGATATCCTGAAAGTTGATTGAAATTTTAAAAATATGAATTTTTAAGAAACAAATTAAAACAATAAATTATCACTAAAAATTATGTTATAATTTAAAGGACTGTAGCATATGTAAAATAACACTTGAAATATGTACTGATGTATATATATATATATTTTTTTTTTTTTTTACTTTTTTTTAATGTCACTTCGACTACCATGGCCATTATTGACAATCGTTCTTCTTAAATATGATTGATTAATTTTATTTCTTTAATAAATTACAATGTTTTTTTCAATTCCCTTCTTTTCTTGTTTGTCTTCAATGTTTAGTTCTAGTCGTTGTTTACTGTATTCTTTGCATTGAAATATATGTTGTACAGTCAGGTTAGCATGGTGACATGTTGGTGGATGTAGGCCAAGAAGTAAATGGAGATGTTTTAGCTTGGTGCGTCCAATTCTGCCAAATGGCAGAACATTTTTTTTATGAGAGGTGTTTTGGAGGCAGCCAAGTTTGGTTATCTTCTTTTCACAGGCAGAGATGACAGGTGTGCCCATTGTTCATTCCAATTTTTATTAACTTTGCCTATAATTTCTCTTTTACATTCCATAATAAATATTGATCCTAAAAAGGGTGAATCAGAAAATCTGGCTGCTTGCTTTGCTCCTTCCTCAGCTTGTTCATTTCCAGTAATGCCAATATGAGAAGGAACCTGTAACATTGTTATTTCTTGACCATTTCGATGGAGTTACAAGTATATTAGTTGACTTTGTTGGTGTAATGTGTTATTGGTCCATATACATTGCAGTCCTATAATAGGGAATCACTCACAATAACTGATTACTTTATCTTTTAAAAAATTAATATTGATATAGAAAAAAAAATTAATAAATTATGAGTACGATGGCATCACTATAAAAATATTGGGGGAAGAGAAAAATCTAAAATTTCTAATGCACAAATAAAATGTCCTAATTTTGCCAATAGGTTTATCAGATTTTCTCAACAATTTCAAAGGTTGGAACGAAATTTCTGAATAACAAAAATAACTTGTGGACTTTTGTGGTAAACCTAATCAGGCACTTGAGGACTTTTCTATCCCAAAAATCACTGATTTTATTGTCTACATGTTACAATATTTTCAATATAAGACACTTTCTTTCTATTTTTTTAAGTTTACTAAATATAGATGATAATATGTAGATATCCTATAAACATGCGCAAATACATAGGATAAAAGCTGCATTTTTTGCTTTTAAGTTGCATAAAACATGAAAAAAACTGTTGAAAAAGTGTTTGCAAGGCTTATGTAAAACATGTAAACACATATAAATCCATTTTCTAGTAATTATATTCCTTTAAACAAGTAAAAGCTTCTATTTATAATATAAAAATTTACTCATTATGGTTACAGATAATTATCAAGATGTCATCCCTCTTTTTTTGCCAATTTTTCATAATTATGCTCTTGAAATGACATTATGTGCTTTATATAATGGATCTAAAATTGTAACTCTTCCAAAATTTGAAGAAAAGTCATTCTTATCCACTTTCACACAATACAAAGTAAGTACTATCAGAAAAAATATTTATGTAATTTCTATAAATGGTTACAAATTTCATTTTATAATATAATATTTTCATTAAAAATCCAGTGAAAATGGTTAATGATCAAATTTTTTTTCAGGCAACAATACTGTTTGCAGTCCCTCCTACAATACTTTTTCTGGGATCAAATCCATCAGTCACTGAAGAACATCTGAAATATTTAAGAGTTATTTGTTCAGCTGCAGCTCCACTTGGCAAAGATGATATTGAACGATGCTTGAAGAAAGCTCCAAAAAATATAAACATTATCCAAGGTAAGTTACTTAACTGAAATTTAATTTATCTTAAAAAAGCATGCAACATCTGCATAATATTTTCCCTGTTAGAGATCACCATTCCTAAAAAGAAATAATTTTATTGTTGTCCATTATCAGGATTATATAATTCAGTATTTCATTAAAGCATGGATATATTCATGTACATGAATATATAGACCTATATTTGACAATCAATGTTTTGTTTTTTTATATTCTCAATTAAAATATGAAAAGAATGTTTTGCTGTTCAGATGGACATCATTCTGATAAATAAATTGCTTTTTAAATGAAGAAAAATTTTTTGCATTGTATTAATTTTTAGTTTAAAAACTGAATACTCTGCTATTATTTTCTGCATGCAGGATATGGCCAGACTGAAGCCATGTGTTTTCTAACACATACACCTTATGGTCACAGAAATAATAGTTCAATTGGTAAAGCATTGGCCAATACAGAACTCAAAGTTGTTGATCTTCTAACTGGCAAGTCAAAAGGACCCAATGAAGAAGGAGAAATTTGCTTTAGGGGTCCACAAGTAAATCTTTATATTACTTATTCAATTTTAAATATTTTATTTTATCTAATCATATCTTTTTGTCAGTGTTTATAGGATTATGTTACTTGATGTGTGTGTGTTCTAATTTTCTGATTAGAATTTTGGCATTCGAATATCCTTCTTTTTTTTAAAGTAAGAAAGCTATTTACTGATATTAAAGTTATGAGGGGTGCAGAAATTGGCTCAGATCACCTCCTATTAGTCAGAGATACTCAAATACTTGCCCCTAGGAAGAAACACCCAAGAAGCTACCAGAAAATTGATGCTATTAAGCTCCAGGAACCTGAAAAAAGAGCGGAACACACAAACCTATAGGATTCTAAACTCCGGAAAACCAGCATGGATGGAAGTGTAGATAAAATATGGTCAGGAATAAAGAAAGCCATACTGGAGGTCACTGCTTCTACTTGCGTAATTGCCAATATTTCATCTACACGTAAAAGATCCAAGTGGTGGAATGATAGGTGAAGGAATCAGTGGCGAGAAAGAAGGCAGCATGGAAGGAGAACCATAGCCACAAGATTCCATCCAACTTTATATTCGAATGAGAAACGAAACAAAGCTAGTAGTGAAGGTGGCAAAAAGAAATTATCATAAAATGCCTAAGTTTTCTGAAAAAAAATTAAGGCAATGAAAGGAAAGACAAGCGAAATGTAAAGGAGGAGAAAGGCAAATTTATTACTGCGGACCAGGGTATTTTAAAAAAGTGGAGACGCCACTACAAGGAAGTTTTTTCTGGATGTGTTGAGGAAATATGGTGGTATGGGAGGAAGAGGTAAAAGCAGCAGTGGAGAGATTAAGACTCGGGAAAGCAGCAGGGAGGGACGGCATCATCCCTGAGTTCATCAAATATTGTGGAACAGAACTATTGAAAGCATTGCAGTGCCTTTTTCAGAAGTTAATTACTTAAAAAGCTATCCCTAAAAAATGCTAACAAATGCGAGAACTATAGACCTATCTGTCTATCCCAGGTTGTGTACAAGCTCTATACCTCAATATTAGAAAAGAAGCTGAGAGAGCTAGTCGAGAATGATTTAGAAGAGGAACAGGCTGCTTTCAGACCTCAACTCCAGACCCAAGAAATATTTTCAAGGACATATATATTCTCTCAGAACAATCATTGATAAATCGTGGGAACGAGGAAAGAGTATCTTCTTGGCATTTATAGATCTAAAGGCTGCCTTTGATTGAGTCCCTAGACAAGAATTATGGAAAGCTCTTTCAGCGAAAAAACATCCCGCAAGGATTAAATGAAGCCATAAAGTTGACCTATTACAATTCCAAAGGAATAATAAGAATTAATGGAAGAGAGTTTGATACCTTTGTGATTGAGAAAGGAGTAAAGCAAGGGGATAGTTTGAGCTCCTATTCATCATTTACATTAACGAAATCCTGAAAATGTGTAAACGGAGGCAAATGCAATATGAGAACAATTCTGGCCATTTAGAGGTAATGGTATTTGCGAATGACATTGTCCTTATAGCAGATACTAAAGAGAAATTACAACAAGCTGTAACTGAATGAGAAGCTGAGCTGGAAAGAAAGGGAATGACCATCAATATCAGGAAAAGCAAAATGATGCATATAGGTCGGGAACAGGAATACATTGACATACTTTGCAAAGGTGAACCAGTAGAAACAGTGGACGATTACACTTACCTCGGGACAGTGATCAGCAGGTATGGAAAGGTAGATCAAGAAATATCCAATAGGATAAAGAAGACAGATTCAATATACTACCACCTCTGCAACACAGTTATAGGGATAAAGGAGGTAGAGAAGAATGTTAAAGGACATATCTTCAATTTTATTTAATTCAATATGTTTCTTATTCAGTTGCCTAATTAATAGACAATTATTCTCATACGCTTTTTAACATTTGTTTTATTCCTAATAAGTGATGGTGGTCCATTCCAGATCCTGGGGTAATTATCCGGGTTTGCTTGTCCTCCAGGCCAGCACTGCTCATGATATCAAGAGTGCTGTTGGAGGTCATTCTTACTATAACTGGATTATCTTCGTAAATCACCATCAAATTGTTTGAAGTGAGTCAATATCTATACGCTGATAGCTGGTATGAGTCTGTCAATGAGTAAAGTTTTCTTAATATTCTTTTATTATATTTCGGTGTATAATATTTAGTTTCTAATTTTTACTTCCACTTACGTATATATGTAATATATAGTAAGGGTAAGTATTGCGATCGTGAAAATTTTTTAATCTCAGTCCTCCGAGTCCAAATAACCAAGTGTCCCAAAATGGTCTGTGCGTGTGTGTTAACAATCTAGCTCATAAACGAAAAGTAGTACGAAACTGATATTAAGTATTTAAGGTTTGTATATGAGCCGGATGTGACAGTAACTTTTTCGTTAAAATCGACTAATCGGAAGTGTCACTTTATATGAACGCTGAAACACATTTTTACAATTTCCTCAAAAACGGCTCTAACGATTTTGATTAAACTCTCATAATTAAGAGACTCTCTTAATTTGATCATTGTATAATTAAGTGATCTTTAATATCATTTAGGTCTTATCCCCGTTGATGTCACTTTACAGGGCTTAAATGCCCAATTTTCATATATGTCTTCCTCTAAAATACCTTTAATATGGTTTATTTAAAAAAATTAATCATTTCGCAATTATTCAGAGTTACAAAAAAATGCTACATATAACTTTTGAAAGAATTTAATAAGTTAATAAAGAAGAAAAAAAATAAAAATGCAGAAAAACCTGCGTTGCTATAGACTGTAGCGCCTAAACGAATGTACCGATTTCAATGAAACTTCGCTAAAATAATTTTCTTGACACCTTTTAAATTTATCTATATAACATATTTCAACGAAAAGAAGCTGGAAAAAAAGTTACGAGGGATGGTAAAATTAAATTCTGAATAACTACAAAAAGATATACTTTTAGTGGATATTGTGATAGGTTCTATATACCTACCTACCCTCCTTTATGGAAGTGAAAGCTGGGTACTATTAGATAAGTACCTAACCTGAGTTATTACAGTGAAAATGTGATACCTTCGGAGAGTGCTAGGCCGAACTAGGAGGGATCGTGTACGGAATGAGAGGATGTTGGAGTTGTCCCTTTAAAGGATATCATTGAAAAGAGACAACTCTGATGGTTTGGACATCTCTGTCGAATGAGTGAAGACAAGGAACCAAGAAAATATTTTGAGGCCAGACCAACAGGAAAACCGCCAAGAGGGAGACTTAACACAATGGAAAGACTATATCTCCAAAGTGGGAGAGAGAAGGAGAAAAAACTGGGAAGCCATGAGGGTGCTGGCTCGGGATCGAGAAGCTTGGTTTGCCTAGTCAGGGGCATCTCCACGCTGAAAGGCACCAAGGAGGAAGAGAAAGAAGAATAAGAAGACATTTTGTGAATTCTTTCCCATCTTTAGAACTCTTCCTTTTATTCAATTATGGTCAATAGCTATGCTATTTGTGTTCCTTTGTCTTAGTTTATTCATTTTTCAAAAGTGTTATCCAGAGCAACCACATTAATAGATTGAACTATTTGTTTTAGATGTCAATGGGTTACTTGAATAATCCTGAAGCTACAAAAGAAGCTAAAGATGCTGAGGGCTGGTTTCACACTGGAGATGTTGGCTACTATGATAAAGATGGATTTTTTTATATTGTCGACAGGATAAAAGAAATGATTAAAGTTAAAGGATATCAGGTAATTATTTTAACTTAATTTACAATACCATTATATATAAACTCTTTATTTGGGAATGTACTTCACATTTTAATTTTTCAAAGATGTATCTAAATAATCAACATAGTTGTAAATAACACTATGATAATGAATGCCTTGGAGTGTCAGAAACTATGAGGGGAAGGGAAAGGTCGCAAGATATAGAAGTTGATAATAATAATAAGGCTTAGCGAACCCGAAGGTTTCTATGCCGACACCACCATCGCATGTACACACCTCCCTCCACCGTTCGCCGTCCAAACCCAGTCCTCTTCAGATCGGCTTTGATGCAATCTTCCCCACCTTCGCTCGTCTAGCCCCTCGGACGCTTACCATTCGGGCACAGCAAATATGAACCTTTAGGAATTCTCTCGTTACTAATCCCAACAACTTACAACCCATTTATTTTCGCCGCGGATGAATAACCTCAATTATATACCGCAGATACGCTCACGCAATTTCTGCGTTGTGTAACCGTCTGAACTCTCCGGTTTAACTCATCCTTCTCGGTCCGAATATTCTACGCATACTTTATTTTCAAAAACCTAAGACGCTGCTCATCCCTTAATGTAAGCGGCCAAGTTTCGCATCCAAAAAGAACTGTAGGCAAGATAATTGTTTATAGATTCAAATTTTAAGTTCCGGGACAAGAGCGACGAACTAAGTTAAGTTTTTGTAACAGAAAAATAACAAGCATTTCCGCCTTCAGTCTAACCCTTAATCTCCTCTTCAATATACGTTCTTGTCTAGTTTTATCGTAGAACCTAGATACCTAAATTTATCTCCCTGTTCAAACATATTACCATCTATATCGATACACCATAGATCGCCATTTTTGCAGCTAACCATATATTTTGTTTTATCCTCCGCCCCCCCGTTATTCGAGTCCTATGTTCTTTTACCGGCTATCATTAACGTTTCGTATTTAGTTTTTATAGTTTCCAACGTCTTCGCTTAACAGTAACCAGATCATCAGCATAGCCCAGCACTGATGTTGTCCCGCCCAGATCCAACCCATTCTCGTTCGCATTACCTCCCTAATGGCATGTTCTAATGCCCAAATGAACAGTACCGCGAAAGAGAATCCCCTGTTTTAACCCGAACGAACCTCAAAATTTTTCGGACAGAATTATTACCGAATCTAACTTTATTGAGTGTCTCCGTCCAAGCACACCTGACTAGATTTACTATTTTTTTGGAATCCCCATGCTCGATTAGAATATTATAACAGTTTCTGGCGGAGTCAATAGAATCCGTAAGCCTTTATAAAAATCGATATACAGCTGGTGAACAATACCGTTATACTCCAATTTTTTTCTCTAATATTTGCCGTAAAGAAAATATTTTGATCAATAGTCGAACGATTCCGTCTAAATCCGCATTGGTATTCTCCGATAATTTCCTCGGCGTATTCCGTGATTCGACTGGTTAAGAAGTTGATAGAAGTTGATAGAAGTTGATAGAAGTTGATAGAAGTTGATAGAATCAGTTTTATATTTTAATTAAATCAGAACATGTGAGCAGTATGCAAAGGAACCTGAATATATTTTAATTACAAAAATCATTTATAGGTTGCCCCTGCTGAATTGGAGCATGTACTTCGAAGTATACCAGAAATAGAGGCAGCAGGTGTTATTGGTGTCCCAGATTCAAGAAAAGGTGAAGCTCTCGTAGCATTTATCAAGAAGAAAGAAGGACCATCAATAACTGAAAGATCAATTCATGAATTCTTAGCAACCAAAGTAGCTCCATTTAAATTAATAGATAAATATATTTACGTCGAATCAATACCAACAAATCAATCAGGAAAAATTTTAAGAAAGAAACTGAAAAATATGTATAAAATCATGAACTAATTCATTTAAATTTGTTTGTTATTTTTTTAAATGGAGTAGTTACTGTATTATATTCTTAATGCCCCATTGATAGTAGATGCAAGCTTGCATTCAATAGAAATTATTTGATCATCTATATAATTCAATATGAACTTTGAAGAATTACTGCTTTTGAACAGTAGGTGGCCTAATCAATAGAGAAAACATATTTAATTTCCGCTCAGGATTATTATTTACTGCATTATATTTAATAGAAAAAAAAAATGTGAAATATTGTAATTAATATATCCATATTTAAATGTTATTCTACAGTTATAGTTCTTCATCTTTCTTTAAGAAGAAAAGAATTCCATTCAACAAATAACTGATACTTTCCTTTCCTGTGAATCCCATTTCTAGTTGACTTAGACCTCTTCTCTCCTCCTCCCAAAAAAAAAAAAAAAAAAAAAAAAAAAGGAAAACAAATTAAGATGTTTGCTTTAGACCACATAATAGAAGTAAAAACATCAACAAGGCAAGATTAATAATATGAAATATAAATTATAAATAATACCTCATTATAAAGAGGATGAAATACTAAACATTTCTCTCACTTACAGTATGCAGATCCGATGTGGCACTCTTTAACATTGGCACGCTATAAACTGTAGCGCCAAAACGGCTTTACGAATTTTAACAAAACTTGGCTAAAGTCTTCCCCTTGAAACCCTTTCAATTTTGTGTATAACATACTTTCCCGAAAACAAGCTGAAAAATGTTACGATGAATTCAATATTTTATTTGACAATAACTAAAAAAGTACACAATTTTTGACAGATAATACACATATTTATATGAAAGATTTATGAATGGCTGACAAAATAAAAAAAAACTCATCGAAATCGGACGGTTCGTTGCAGAGTTATTGAGTTTTAAACATTTACTGCTTTCTCTTCAGAAAAGGCCGTTTCCTTTTGCTTCCTCACTACCGAACGTCGGCAAGCATTTTTTTTTTTATTGATTAATCGAAAATTTTATAATTACTACAGTAATTGAAATTATCACTTGAAGAAGTTATATGATTTTCCTTATGTATATACATTTTTTAAATTAATTTTTTAATTTAGTTTTATAAGTTCAACTCAGACTGTTTCTGATGATTATGAATGACCGCTATTCACTTAGATGATTATGAATGTTAAATTTGAATCATGAGAAAAAAAACCATTATAATTAGTTTAAATTGAAGCCATTTTACAGATAAATTTGTTTCCCAACTTTTTAAAAATGACAGATGTCCTTTGCTACTGATCTATTCATATGTGCTTTTTATTTTCTTTCATTTTCATTTTGCCAGGCTAAGCCACAGCAGCGCTTGGCTGGGTAAAGCTAGTTTTTAATAAATTAATAAGCAAGAAAATAAAAATAAAATTGAAAATGTGTATTAGAAATATAGCTTCACTGATGAGCACATACCCAAAATGAGACACAATATATAAGAAATATTAGTTTAATTTATTTTTTCTATCTTACCATTAGTAATAACTGATTCATTTCATTTTTTGATTTATAATAAAAGTGTTTTAAAGTTTCAAGAATTGTTAGTTCAATTTTATTTTCTTCTTTCATTTTTTTTTTTTATGTTGTGGAGTTTAATTAATTTTTTCATATTAATGTTAATATAGGCACTTCAAGTAATTTACACAATATTTGTTTCATCCATCTTTTTTATTAAAGATATCTCTGGTTTCGCTACTTTATCTAGAGAGTGCTGGTATATATATATATATATATTAAAGGAAGATCGATGAAAAAAAAACAACTACAGTATACCTGAATCATCAGAGCAATTACATAGAATACCCAATAATATATTTCACTTAAAAAAATTAATTTTTATATTTATAAAGAACAATTTTTTTAATGACCTTTGGAGGAAATTCATCTCTGCTTCTTCTCTTAGACCTTTTAGAAGGATTTGTTACAGCATATTATTCTCTGTTCTCCATCAAATACAGTGATTAAAATGGGGCACTGATTTTTTTTTTTATTTTTATAACAGAAGGTATGAGCTTAGAAAATTATCAGAAATTTAATTTGACAAGTGAGTGTCTGTAGTTATAAAAGTATGCTTAGTTCATTTTTTATATTTTTCTTTTTCCAAACAATTCCTTCTTTATCTCATGCTATTTTTGCACTTTGAATTATTGGATTATCCGGACTATTAAAGTTCCGATTACATATTATGTCAAATTATTTCTTCACTTTACTCAGCTGGCTCCTGAATTTGTAGATTTGAAAGTACCAGATGGGGAAGAATATGGAAATTTATCAATAGGTTTGCTGGAAGGAAAAAAAGAAGGACTACAAACCAATGTTAGTAAAATTTCATTATTTCATAATATTAACAAAAGTAAATCCATGGGCTTAAAAAAAAAATTAAAAAAAACATGAGTGATGGTAGTTGAATTAAAGTTAATATGAGGATTACAAATTTATCATCATCTCACTTAATTAACAAAATAAAAATCATTTCTGTATAGTTTAAGAAAGACAGTATTGAAATTAAAATATGTTTATCACTTTCTCCAACAAATGACGACAAATAAGAGGTTATTTAGTTCACTGGTTTATACATCTTTTTCAGTTCCTTTCTTAAAATTTTTCCTGATTGAGATGTAGGTATTGATTCAACATAAATGTATTTTTCTATTAATTTAAAAGGTGCAACTTTGCTGGCTAGGAATTCGTGGATGGCACTCTCAGTAATCGATGACCCGCTTTTCTTCTTGATAAATGCTACAGGAACTTCACCTTTTCTTGGATCTGGAATACCGATGACACCTGCTGCATCTATTTCTGGTATACTCCGAAGTACGTGTTCCAATTCAGCAGGAGCAACCTTAAATATTATTTGTCCTCATTAAGTTACAGAGATTACTATTATTAATGTAATTAAAATGTTCATATTAGTCGTGAAATGATAAAAACGAATACCTGAAATCCTTTAACTTTTATCATTTCTTTGATCCTGTCGACAATATAAAAAAATCCATCTTTGTCATAGTAACCAACATCGCCAGTGTGAAACCAACCTTCAGCATCTATAGCTTCTTTGGTAGCTTCTGGGTTATTCAAATATCCTAGTGACATCTAAAACACAAATAATTCAGTTTCATTAACCCTTATAATGCCTATGAAGTCTCTGAGACTCTTATTTTTATTAAAAAGGGCGAGGATTCGTAATGAAAGAGGGATCTTGCATAGACCAAAATTTATAAATGAATGAAATATTTTGGATGTAAATATATAAGTGATTTTTGAAATATTTAGAAATCAGAAGTATTAAATCAATTGTAAAATATATATATATTTAGTAATGATATTAGAACCAAAAAGTGTTTATTTGTTCTGACATTCTTAAAAGCTATATATGAGTATGTTCTAAAAAAAAAAAAAAATAATAATAATAATTATAAAATAAATGTAAGGCTATGAACTTATAACTAGTACAGGTTCATTCATGGGCTAATAAGGCCAACAATTTTAACTGAAATTAATTTTTAATTTAAAAATTCAAATGCATGCCCTAAAAAGTCACTCCTTGCAGCAAATGAGTGACATATCTGTATATATTTAGTTTATCATTCACTCACCCATTGCATGGTGCTATGGTCCATTAAGAACCAAAGCCGCCTCCATTATCCCGCTCCACTTTATCCGCTAGTCTTGGTGCGCAATCATCTGCTGTTTAGCTGTTGTAGGTACTCTTCCATATCATCCAGCCATTGTTTGCGAGGCTTACCTCTCCTTTGAGAACCTCAGAGATGACCATACATACAGCATTTGCCTCGGAAATCTCGATATAGGAATCCTTCTTGATATAGGAATTCCACATGTCCAAGCCAGCCCAGTCTCTTTTCTTAATAACTTGTACTATGTCAGATTCAGAAATTAGTTCTTTCAACTCGAAGTTTGTTCATATCCTATGTTCATCTTCCTTTCACGTTGGCCTATATATCTTCTGCAGTATCCTTTTTTCCAATATTCTAAGCCTGTTCTCACTAGCCGAAATCATCAACCAGGTTTCACTGCTGTATGACACTGTAGGCATAATTACAGTTTTGTAAATCAGCAGCTTAGGGCTTCTGGAGAGTTTTTTATATGTTGTAGCTTTATACCTGGCATAAAGACATTTATTACCAGCAGATATTAGTCCTCTGTTGTCTCATTATTTTGCGTGACAATCCCTCCAAGGCACTTAAAGGACCTGCATGTTGAGAAGTAGTGCTCACCTTCTTGGCCTCTTCTTTCTTAGAGAGATTTGTCTTCAATAATAACCTGGCCAAATTCTCTAACTGCTCTTTTAAACTTTTCTAGTGATCCTGCCAATGCTGGCAGTGATTTTGCAGAGATTACTACATCATCAGCATACACCATATGCTGGGTTAATTTGTTGAAGATGTTTCCTCCTAGCTTAGTTATTCTAATTTTCCAAGGCTAAATTAAAAAGTACTGGAAAAGAGGATCTCCTTGACGTAGGCCTCGTTCCAATTGAATGCATAGTTAGCTTATCATCAATGTAAATTTATTGGACTTAGTTAATTTTCTCTAAATGATAAATATTAATTTTAAATTGATAAATTAATTAATAAATTGCTCAATCCTCCAAGAATTAACATACTCCGTATATATGTATATTTTTATTTTTTCGGTTGGCGCTACAGTGTATCGGGAGAATTGTGTTGTATTTCCATTTCTTAGGGGTAGCTTTTTCAGTAATTAACTTCTGAAAAAGGCACTGAAATGATTTCAATAATTCTGTTCCACCATTTTTGATGAATTCAGGGATGATGTCGTCTCTTCCTGCTGCTTTCCAGAGTCTTAATCTCTCCACTGCTGCTTCCACCTCTTCCTCCCATATCACCTCATCATATTTTCCCTATATACTTTCTCTGATCCTTCTCTCCTCAACATCTTCAGAAAAACCTTCCTTGTAGTGTGGTCTCCACCTTTCTAAAATATACTGGTCCTCAGTAATCAATCTGCCTCCCTCATCCTTTACATTTCTTATTGGTTTGGTTGTCTTTCCTTTCATTGTCTTAATCTTTTTCAGAAAACTTTGGCATTTTCATGATAATTACTCTGCAGATTTTGACCAAATTCCTACCAGTTCTTTCTTTTTGCCACCCTCACTACTAGCTTTGTTTCGTTTCTCCTTACAACATAAAGTTCCGAATTGGATGGAATCTTGTGGCTATGGTTCTCCTTCCATGCTGCCTTCTTTCTCGCCACTGATTCCTTCACCCTATCATTCCACCACTTGGATCTTTTATGGGTTGGTGAAATATTGGCAATGCCGCAAGTAGAATTTCCTCCAGTATGGCTTTCTTTATTCCTGACCATATTTTATCTACACTTCCATCCATGCTCGTTTCCCGGAGTTTAGAATCCAATAGGTTTGTGTATTCCGCTCATTTTTCAGGTTTCTGGAGCTTAATAGCGTCGATTTTCTGGTAGCTTCTTGGGTATTTCTTCCTAGGGGGAAGAATTTGAATATCTCTGACTAATAGTAGCTGATCTGAGCCAATTTCTGCACCCCCTCATAACTTTAATATCAGTAAATAGCTTTCTTACATTAAAAAAAAGGATATTCGAATGCCAAAATCTAATAAAAAAATTAGAACGCACACACATCAAGTAACATAATCATATAAACACTTACAAAAAGACATGATTAGATAAAATAAAATATTTAAAATTGAATAAGTAATATAAAGATTTACTTGTGGTCCCCTAAAGCAAATTTCTCCTTCTTCATTAGGCCCTTTCGAATTACCAGTTAGAAGATCAACAACTTTGAGTTCTGTATTGGCCAATGCTTTACCAACTGAAGTATAATTTTTGTGACCAAAAGGTGTATGAGTAAGACAGCACATGGCTTCAGTCTGTCCATATGCTGTAGAAAATTGAAAAGACAAATTAATTTGGTTTTTATTATTTATCTATTTTTTTCATTCAAGATTTGAAAGGAATAGGAATTCGGGTGATTAGAAAGGTGAAGTTGAAGGTTGGATCCATAGTTTTTAAATCATACCAAATCCCACTGAATAAGATAATTTATTCCCAGAAGTATTTTTCATATAAATTATCCCTTTAAAGGCTATAACCAAGTAGCAATCACCTTGCCCATTTGTGTTAAGAAATACCTAAATATCTAAATTAGGTGTGTGTCATAACTTCAAAGCATCTAGCAAGTCACTGAAAACATAGAGTTCAAGAACTCTCTTAATGTAATATATAATCACGTTAATTAAATTATTGTGAAAAAACATTGTTTATTAATTGGGCAATATGAGGATTGTATCATTGGAAGTTAATAAAGCTAAAAGGTATTAATATGTTCTATTAAATATTTGTTCTAACCGTGTATGATATTTATATCTTTCGGAGTTTTCTTCAAGCACCGGTCAATATCATCTTTACCGAGGGGTGCTGCTGCTGAACAAATAACTCTTAAATATTTCAGATGTTCTTCAGTGACTGATGGATTTGATCCAAGAAAAAGTATTGTAGGAGGAACTGCGAACAGTATTGTTGCCTGAAAAAAATTTTGATCATTAACCATTTTCATTGGATTAATAATGAAAATAGTATAGTTTAAAATGAAATTCGTGATCATTTACAGAAATTACATATTCTTTTCTGATAGTACTTACTTTATGTTGCTTGAAGGTGGATAAGAACGTCCTTTCTTCAAATTTTGGAAGAGTTACAATTTTAGATCCATTATATAAAGCACATAAAACCATTTCAAGAGCATAATTATGAAAAATTGGTAGAAAAATAGGTATAACATCTTGATGATTATCTGTAACCATAATGAGTTGTTTAATAAAATTAAAGTGATTACTTTAATAAAAAAACTATGTGCTTAAGACCACACGATAGAATTGAAAACATTAAGGCAGGATTAGAAATATAAAATATTCATTTATTTTTGTTCTATATTCCCAAAGTAATAACATTTATGATATATACAATTATACTTTTCATTAATTTTTTCATGTAGGTCAGTACAAGAAATAATCACATTTAGTTTTGATTATTATTTAGAAGTGAACGTTTCGGGAAGTTTCTGTTCCTATATGATATGCCCCAAAATTCTGTAAGTCCAAGATATTAATAAGCTTGGTTAATATTAATGTTTTAATTTCAACTGAAATATATCATATGCTGAAGAGGGGGATGGAGATTCTCCAAAACCTTCACTAATAAATAATAATCAAAACTAAATGTAATTATTTATTGTACTGCCCTATAGAAAAAAATTAATGAAAAGATAATTTAAAGGAAAAGAGGTCACTACTGGAAAATAGAATATACAATTATAATTGTATATCAATTATGTTTTGTTCTATATTCACAAAGTAATACCATCCAAATTATCATTTTTGAGTTATTTTAATCTAAATGCTCAAAAGTACTCGTCATCATTTAGTTATTGACACTATCTTTTTCCTTTTGCCGACAGGGAGTTTTGTCAGATACAATTTTGAATGATAATTCGTTACAAAGAGGATGAAATGTTGAATGGGATCCTGGGGGTTGAATGGAAATGGGCTCCACAATACTGAACTCTGTACAGCCCTTTTTCCATCTGCGATTACCATTAATTAATTATGGAACTTACAGCTTCCACTACAATTATTCACAGTAAAGTTTTATAAAAATTTGCAAAGTGCTTTTTAAAAATAATTATTTCTATTTTTTTTTTTCAAACTTCATAGATATACATATGTGTGTGTATTGTGTTTGCATTTTACCGTTAGTTTCTTTAAAAAATGTTGTATGTTTTTCCATCATCTGTAAAATTGATGCTACAACATTTTTGTGTGTCAGGCAAACTCCTTTTGGTAAACCAGTAGTTCCACTGGAATGCGATATGAATGCCAGAGATTCATCAGCTATAATAGAGGGCACAATCTTGGGACTATTAGTAACTGCCGATCTGTTTACTAAATCATTTAAGCTTATTATATCTTTAGGTAGGTTTGTACTACTTTTCTCATCCACTCGGATCGATAATATTTTGAAATTTGGAGGTAGACATTTAGCTGCTTTAAGATTATCAACTGCTTTCATCACATCTTGTACTTTTTCAGGATATGTTATGATCTTTTTGGCTCCCGAATTCATGATTTGATGAGATATTTCATCTGGAAAAAATATTAAAATAAAGTTAAACAGTTCTAAATTTTATATAAGTAGTAAATTGATGAGTGATCCATTTTTTTTAGCATATAAACATTTGGATTCTTTGTAGGGATGATATTATGTTTATTATAATAGTTACAATTTTTAGTTATACATTTAAAAAAATAATAATCAAGTGTTGATTATAATTAGTTCCTATAATTTAATTCTAGGACTTTTTACCTTAATGATGAGAGATATTTTTCACCTGGCGTATATAAATGGTTTATTGAACATATTGTCAGACCTCTTCCCGATGCACCTAAAATAATACTGATGTATTCTGGACTGTTCGGGAGTACAATCGCCAGAACATCTCCACCACATAAGCCTTCATTAACTAAACATTTTCCAATTATTGTGGAATATTCTTTTAGGTCCGTAAATGTATATTTTTTATTAGTTATCCCACAGACCTGGAAATGATTGGATATGTATAAATTGCAAATCTTATAAAGTAATATTTTATCAATAAGATATAAAATTCACAAATAAATTAAAGTCATCAGTATAAGAAATATTTATAGCTGAGTGACATGAACACAATTAAATTTTAAATAAAATGTTTAACAATATGTAAAATGCACAATATTGTTAGTTTATTCCAAAAAAACCAAATAAAATGTTATGAAATTAAATCACTAAATATTTTGACAAATTTTTTCTATGAAATTAGAACAAGGTACTCTTTGTGCAACTGTTGATATCTAATATGGTGTGTGTTATTTTAATACTCCCTCAATGTTTATTTATTTATAAATGTTTTGGGCTCTTCGACCACCTGGGTGATTTTGCCCTATATTACAATTGACAATCTCTATGCTTCTGCTTCAACAAATATGGTCAAAATTCACAAGAATGTAATAAAGAATTTAGTTCTAAGAAAAATAAACTTTATGACTTTTTGTAATAAACCAGAGATTTGCACAATTTCTGCCTTGCCAAGAGACTAATTACGACTAAAAGAAAATACAAATATATTATCTTAAGTGTATAAATATTGCATTAGAAAACCACTAGAAGCTATGATAATAGCTGAAAATATTAAGTACTTAATTACTTATTAAGGAGATTAAAAACAAATCGACATAAAGAGAAAGAAAAGAAAATTGCTTATTGCAAAGGGATTTTTAGGAATATGCTTTAGTAGCTGATTACTCCAATAGATAGCAATATCAAATAGTACTGTGCATCATCAATAGAGTGTGTTAACAGTTTTATTTTGAATCCAAATAGATAATTTTAATAATGTTGTCAGTTAACAAGATCCATTTCAAAATCTGTAAGTTATAATTTTTAAAAGTTATTTTAAATGATTCACTTAGCTCTTTCTTTGTGCTATACACATACACCTTATCTCTTATAACTTTGATTAAATTTTAGTCCTGATGACCCACAAGTTTGAGAACCCATGAAAAATATGACTAAAAATTCCAACTATATACTATCCAAAATAACCTTCAAACAGTCAACTATAAAGTTATTTCTATATTTTAAATAGCAAGGGGTAAGCTCTAGCTCTATTTACTCTATGAAAAGGATTATAATTCTTAAAATTATGTTCTTTAAATTAATATTTTATTGTGAAAATGAAAATTGGCTTTTAACTATTAAGTCTCAAAATGATTGTTTTGAAAACAACTAAGGTAAATTTAACCAATTATTATTTATATAATCAATAAGAAAAATAATTCAAAAATTTTAAGTATGTACTATATTGTTGGTCACATGTGTATGGGTTTTAGGTAGATATTTTTAAAATAAAAATGAATAATAATAACTGCAGGAGTTATGCCAACTTGAATTTAATATAGTACAACAAATTTAATATAGAAATTAGCTAAATTTCATCTGCAACCATAATTTGAAACCTTAATGTTTGCAGTTTGACCTATTTTCAGATTAGTCACTTTGGTAATATACTGATAATATCAGATATATACGTTTCTCATTAGTTTACATAGTGAGATAAAATTATGAAAACAAATAAGCTTTCTAATAAAGGTATCATACTTTTTTTTTTTTTTTTTTTTTTTTTTTGTATGCCAAACTGCAATAACAGATAATTAAAATAAAAGTATGAACTTGTAAAATGAAAATATTTATTGAAAGGATCATCTTAAATAAAAAAAATTGTGTTTTATTAAACACTGTACTACAGTATAACGTTCTTAAAATGTAAAGATAGTTACTATCTTCACTAATAATCTTGATAAAATAAATATTATTGTTCTTATTGCAAAGAGGTACTTAATTGCATACTAATTATAATCTACTTACAATGGCTTCATGATTTTTCCATTTGTTATAACGCTCCCAAATGAGTTCAGTATATGTTTTCTTGGGTATTTCTATGTTGTATGGGCTCTTTATAATATACTTTTCTGCTGAACTTTTTATCTCAGTTGAATATTTGTTTATTTGTATTTTCATTTTTATTGGTACATCAATTTTTGACTTTAACCAATGCCTTGTGTCTAAGAAGATGCAATCCACACATTTTTTGAGAATCATTTTTTCTATAATTTGATCTGAATTAAAAAGAAAGTATAAAAACTTTGTTCATCACCAAATGCCTAATGATTTAAAAAAAAAATGTTTTTAACATTACACATGAAACTTAATATAAAACATTCAATCGAGATCAAAACTTCAATTTAATAGAAAGTGGACATTATCCAATGCTCAAAAGTAAAGATCTTGGACTAAATGGGCTTGATAATTTGACAAACAATTATTGGTTAAGGTCGCATGAATAACCAAATCATGTAATATTTATGAGTTGAATTTTAATGATTATATTGTTTGAAAATGATGACTTAGTCAAATGACACATTGCTTTAAATCAGTGATCTATTGATCAACTACAGGAACAAATATGAAGCAGGAAGTTTTATGATAGTTATATTATAATTATGTTGTAAACGTTTATACCTGTTAGAATTTACCCAATATTTTCTTTGAAGGTATTTCAAAAACAAATCTAGACAAATTTCCTTGCCCATAGGATTGTTTAATTTCTTGCTGTAAATCACAAATAACCTCTCTATGTCCTTACCTCAAAGTATGACAGAAACTAAAAAGTAACTGTTAGATAAACCCTCAACAGATAACCATCAATACAATTAGTCTCAAGATAACATTAACTGTTATTAACATACATTGCTTATATATTTATTTTAAAGATTACATAATTTCTTTTCCTTTTTTCTCCTTAATTTGAATTTCAGCAGTAGAAATTAGGGTGGGATTTATTCATATTTTATTTTTGAATTATTTAGATTAAGGCTTTTTTATTTTAATTTTTCACAAGAAATTATGAATGCTTCAAAATAATTATGTAGAATATTATTGTGCTAAATATTTATTAGAAGATTTATTAAATATTTATACAGGTCCGCATTGCTTCTAATTTGTTTGTTGTTAGAGTATTATTAATATATTTAGAATCAGGGGTTGAAACTTTGATGAAACAAATTCGTTTTCAACAATTTCCAGAAAAATTTTTAGGGAAAAGTTCTAAGAAACATTTTTGGTTCTTCGTTGAAGTTCCAGAGTTATGGTAAAAGTTTAGCTTGTATTTATAAAGTTCTTAAAAAAAGTTCCTTTAAATGAAAAATAAACAGTAATTGGGCTTAGACAAGAGTTATAATTCATGATCAATGAATTACATATGATTCAAGTGTGTCGTTTGTTTGAGCAGTAAAGAATAAAAGTCACTTTTAGATTGTATTTTTAGCGAAATCGACTGAACTTTTGAATAAATTTGTTTTTAAAAGTTCTGTAAAACCTTCACTTGAAAAGTTGCAAGAGAAAAAGTTTTAGTTTTAAAAGAACTGAAAAATTATCGACAATAAAAATTCCAGTGGTACAAAAACTTTTTAAAAATACAATTTTTTTTCCATTTCGAGGTCTGTTTAGAATAATAATATAATAAGAATAATACATTATGTAATGTTCTGTCTTAATATTACAGCTATGCTATTGTTTTATATGTGAATAAATAAATGTTAAATTTTCTAAACTGCCATAAAATTGTTTTCTTTGAATAATAATTTATCTGATAATCTAGTAAACTAAAAAACAGAAAATTCACAAATATTTGTTTTATTAATAAAAAAAGTTATAAAATTACACTGTTATTATAGAAAAATGTAAAAGAAACCAGATAGTAATTAAGTCATGATGCCCAAGGTCGCGAGTAGGTAGCAATAGTAAGTAAAACACTTTATTGGATAGAACTACTTTTTCTCGAATATGAAAACAAATTTATTGAAACAGTTTCAGGGACTTCTTTTAAGTATAGAAAAAAATCATTTGCATATAAAAAATGTATGTAAGTAGAAATTTATGGTGTGCTACTTGTTTCACCCATTGTTTGCCGTGCAACAAAACATTTATTCTGTGTCTAATAATTTATTTGATAAACAAGTGATTTATGATAAGCAGAATTCAGCAGGGGAAAACATCGTGAATTTTTGTTTAGCTTCAAAAATCAAAATATATTTCTTTCTTCTTTTAGGTTATTTTATCCTTAATTTAGTCAATTACGTGTTATTATACTGTGGTATCTAATTATTATACATCATATTTATCGATAATTGCTAATTGAAAGTAATTAGCATGAGGTAATGGGATATTCACTGGCTAGAGGGCTAATTTTTTTTAACCCATTAATGAATCTAGAGATGTATATATTAAATTACTAATTGATTAATTCGCCTCATTTATTCTTGTATGTTTATAAATGAACAAAAAACTTCCAACTTTAATTAAAAAGGAGAAGAGATATTTCTACAATGGGTAAAACAAATATAGCTCAATTATTGAAAATAAAAGAACTAACCATGTAACATCAAATTAAAAACGAATCTGTTGGGATAGGATTGTAGCTGAATTCTATGCAAACCCAAATGTCCAAATGAGGACATCTTTGAACCTCAAAAACAAATATGAAAGTATTTAAAAAAACACAAAAAAGAAATTTGTTGACCATGAAAACAGAGAGGAACCAGAGATGTCCCAGCTTTGCCCCCTCCCCCTAAATTTTCAATAACGAAAATGAACAAATTAAAATACTGCGACCTCAGGTAACTGGGATATATTATCAGTTTGATGATGATTCAAATAAGTTATTATTCTATTCCATTTATTATGTAATATATTTATATTTTTGTGAAATATTGTGTCCTATGTCGAGTGGACACAAACAACAATGGAGTTACGAATATTTTATGATTGCACATGAACTGTATATTTTAAGTTAAATACTTCCATATACATTTTTTTATGCAGGTTTTTTATAATTGGATTGTTTAAAAAAATGTTTGTATGCTTATAGCAATTATGTTAGAAGATATTGACACAAGAGATATGGATCTATCTAATTCTAAGATAGATGAATTTCATCAAGATAAAAAGTGTATGTCCAAACTCATTAATCTCTTATTTTGTTTTTTTCCCCTCATTTTTTTTTTTTTATATGTATATTCTTATAGCAACTCTCACCATCGCAACCAGTTGGGGAAGAGAAGTCTTACTTTCAAATGTGAGCTTTAAATGAAAGAGCACTTCCATAGTTATGAAAGAGTAGCCCAATTACATTGTATCGAGGTATATGATTAAATATTTATTTCATCATGTAGCTTTGAAATAATTTGTATACATTTTTAATCTATATACATAGTTTTAATTTGTATATAATTGTAATTTGTATACATTTCTAGGTGAAAAATAAATGTTGTACCACTGCATTCCATGAAGGGTTCACAGTACTTTGTGAGGAAGTACTTCACAAAGCTAATGGTTGTGGATGGAGATGATTGAGCAAAAAACATGCTCAACCGCCAGGTTTTTCCTCTTAATTAATAATGAGTACCCACTTTATTAGCGGGGCTTGAACTTGGGACCTTGGGCTCTAGAATACAGTGTTCACTACGGATGAGCAGGTGAATAGAGAATCGAATCAAAGAGTCAATTCCTTTGAAAGTATCGTACTTTCAAGTAATTTACATGAAAGAATTACGATTCAATCAAAATCGGTCAATTCAATAGGTATTATTAAAAATTTATCAAAAATACAAAAGAGAAAAAACAACTCTAAGCATATATAAATAAACCAAACAGAGAGAAAAAAAATTAATTAACATTGAAATGTTAAATTAAATATTTACATAATCATAGTTAATTAAAAATAAAATTGCAAGAGAGAAAAAAAAACTGTACACATGTATAAGTAAAACAAACGGAGAAAAATAAACAATATAGTGATATAAAAAAGTATGGGTTATAAATATCTGAAGTGTGAAATTTTAAATATTTACATAAATATATACATTGTATGTTAAATATTTACATAAATATATACATTGTATGTTAAATATTTACATAATAAGAGGCATCAGCGCAGGCTTTCGATTTTGATTGGGAGGGAGGGGCGATGAACCAAAGAAAAAAAAACATGGTGGGAGTTTTTATTGCGTGTTAAAATTTAACATAATTATTGTGAAATGAACAAATATAATATTTATTCTATTTAAAATTAATTTGTTTATATGTTTTTAAGGATTTTTCTTTCTTTATGTCTTTCTTTGTTTTACTTGAAAAAAAAAATACACTTGAATATATAACATATTTGTTTACATTAAACAGAGGGGGAGGGGAGACAGTCTTCATAACATTGGTACATTTCTAGAACTTAAAGGCATGATGCCCCCAGACTACAGGCATGCCCCTAAATCACCAAGGGTAGGACAGTTATATAATATATCTCATGGTGAAAACAACTGACGGGAGAGAAACTAGATTGCCATTAACAAAATTATTTTTGAATAATAAAGAACAACTGGCCAACTTAAATCACATAAAATATTGTAAATTGTGGTAATAAAATGGGAAAAATATAATAGTAAAAAAGTTTTAACACAGTGTTATTTATGTCAAGAATTTAACCATGTTGCTCGAAACTGCTTCAAAAAAACCAAGGTGTCTGAAGTGACAGAGAAAGAATACTTATCAAAAGACCGTCCAAATATCTTTAAGATTTTGTCCCGAAGTGCAGTAACTGCAATGAAAACCACTTCTCTAATTACAAAAAATGCTCACACTATATTAGAAATCAACAAATGAAGCTTAGTAAACAGCGACTTATAATCAACCATTCACAACGATTTCTCTTTATTGCCAAAAATCGACTCAAAATGGTTCCAAAACATTCCCTGCAAACTCTAAGGAAAAAGCCTCAGTGTATGACAATGAACTTTCAATCACAGTATTCTTTAAGGAATTTAAAAATGTCTTCAAACTCTTTAATATAAATAAATTTATAAATAAATTCAAACATATTATGCCAGAAGTTAAATCAGCTGAGGATACTATGTCGAAAATCTTTATTGTGATAGAAGGTTTATTATCTTTAATTGATTAATGGACTTATGATGCAGATGTTTATAATCAGTTTAAGTAACAGTCAAGTTTATAACTTTTCATAATTTATTACATTAATATTACTCAAGGTAAATTTTAGCTTAAGTAATATTTGGACAAAAAATTCACCTGGGACATTCACACTAAATTTAAAAAAAACAAGAACTGACCAGATGATACAAACAACTATCACATATTTTGGACCACAGATCTCCACTCAACATACAAAACAAGTGACTAATCTACAGCGCATACTAAGACCTATTTGGACATATGGAGCAGAACCTTGGGGTTCCGCAAAACACACACACACATAAACAAAATTCAAACCACACAATCCAAAATACTTCGTAAAATCATCAATGCTCCTTGGTTTATTATAAATCACACCATACACACAGACATGAACATACCAAAAGTAAAATCCTACATACACAACATTTCATTCTTCTACTCTCAATCACCCAAATCCACTCATTCTATCTTCCTGTTACTTAGTGAGCCTCAACGACGACCAAAAAGACAGCGGTCTAGAGATCTTCTGCTGACAAGGTAAACTAGTATCAAGAATACAAGAAGACAGAATAAACGTCAACACATTTGCTTGATGCGTTACAACGCAGTGGCAAATTTAATGGAAAATA